CACGCATTTTTTGAAGACTTGTTTTGTATCCTCGATGAAAAGCTGAGAATGAAAAATGTGTCAATATACATAAGGGAGCTCTTCAGTATGTTTTATTTGAAGTTTCAACTTGCAGCTGCTTTCTAATGTTAGGATAGGGTGGGGAATGGAAGAGAAGGAAAAGAGAAAGCAAGCAGGATGCGGAATAAAAAAGGGAAAAGAGAAGGAGGGGATAAAAAGTGGAGAGGGGAGAAAAGAAGAAGGAAGGGAGAGTAGAGAAAGGAACAAGAGGAGAGAAAAACAGGGGAAATGAAAAAGAGAAGGCACAGATAACAATGATTCAGAGCTTGTATACCTTAGAATCTGAGAGATCCAAAAGTTCTTGACCTGCATTCCCCGTTTCAGGAGCTCAGTACAATAACACACCGTGGTTTGTTTAAAACATGGCAACTCGAGTCTTGTGTTTCAGAGAAATGTTTCGCAATGGTGCTGAGGAGAGGAGCAAAAAGATTTAGCTGTTCCTCCTTGCTATCTCCCTCCCTCTGCCTTTTGGCATGCTTGGAACCAAACCCACTCTCTTCTGAAACAATGAATAACATTGCTGTTTTGATGGAGTTAGGCTTGAATTAAAACTTCATTGCTGGGGAAAAAAAAAAAAAAAAAAAAAGGGAGAGGGGGGGAAGAAATCCTCAAATCCACTGAGACAGGATGCTAGTATTCATTATCTAGAGGGTTTATAGCTGAATGGTTTGACATCTCACACGCAGAGTGATGGAAGTGTGTGCTGCAGAGTGGTCTGCAAGGGGACAGTCATCACGTGGGACTCTGACTCATTCGAGTGGATTTTGATTTCTGTTCAGCTTCTTTCATTCCGTTTAGAAAGGACAGAGTCAAGTGCTCCAGAGCAAGGTCTGGTGCACTAATGGAATAAACAGTATTGTGGAGGTGCTGGCAAAGTCTCAGTTTGACTTGGCTTTGCTGGTCTCCAAAGAGTTATATTATTGATTATTTATGAGTATTCGGATGACCTTTGAGCAGTAGGGAAAATGTTTATGAATCTAAAGGGCTTCACAAACTTTAGCACAAGAGCTTGTTTTGTCCAAAAAAATATGAACTGTAAGTGACTTCTTCATTATTCAGCCTTGCTTATCCTCTTACTTTAAAAGCCTTTGGTCACCCAGTTGTGGTGTAGAATCAAACTGTACAGGGCAGATGAGCAGTGACGTGCAAGTGAAAATCCAAGCAGGAAGCATGTGAGTAACTCCAATAGAGCAGCTGGTTTTGTTCAATGGGCTGGGGAAGGCTGAGTTATTCAAAGAAGTCAAAGGGAGTTAGGTACTGCTGACCCATTATGTTTGTGGGCTTTCACACCCACAGGGGTATACTTTTGAAAGCTGTAGATTCACTTGGGAAAAATTAGGATCCGTTTGTGAGCAATTTGTAAGTGGAAGGAAAAAAAAACACCAAGCCGGCGGCTGAATTTCCAATCAGTCCTACTGATAATGAATAACTTCTGCAGTTCTGCTTTTCGAAACTAACTTGGTGTTGTCCATTTCTCTGCGTGTAGTTTCAGGAAATTGAAAGTACTTGGGGGTAAAAATTATCCTCAAACTCTTCAGTTTAGAAAACATATTCTTTTTTTGTCATTTTCAGGATTTTCTTGTGCTTTTTGTATTTCTGTTTCTAATATCCCAGCATGGCTTAAGTTGCATTCCCGGGTCAGTGTCTGCAGCTAGGTGAAGGATTGGTGCATCCTATCTGCAAAAGGCTGATCCCCTTCTATATTGCTGTCTTAATGTCACATTGTACTCCCTTTGCCCATTGTAGACTAAAAAGCCTAAAAAATGCCACACAAGGGAATTGTAATGTTTAGTGCGTCACTCCCCCAGCAACAGCTGAGAAATGCTGGCTATTGAACTTCCTTGCACCTGGCTTCAACTTCTAGAATAAATCAGAGCAGCCTAAAGCTTATTATAAATTACTCCTGGTTCCCGGTGACTCCTGGGGAGTCAGGCAGGGATCAAAGGGGAGCACAAACAGCCCAGCCACAGCTCCTTCCCTTTCCTGCGGCTGATGCTATGCTTGGGTATCGCTGCAGTGGCTCTGTACTGTTATGGTTTCTTTTCCTTGGGAAGGTCTTCCACCTATGGTGTAAGACAGCATCACCTGGCTGCTTCATGCTGACAGGGTCTTGTTACAACACTCTGCCTTTAAATTTCTGAAGATGGACTGTGAAGTTCAAGCAGTGCTAATCCTGTTAAAGGACTCTGGGGTCCTGTTTGTGGCCTGTAGTATTTAGCAGAGTTTCCTAGGGAGTGATGGATTTTTTGCTTGTTCTACCAGCATAAGGTGAGTCAGTTCTGCTTCCCTAGTGGGGCTGTCTGGTAGGACAGACTGTCAGTGACAGCAGACAACACAGTGGCCTAGTGACTCTTATTACCTGTGGTGCAATTGCACAATTAGTGACACAGCCAAGAACCACGAGGACGGATGCAGTGTCCATGCTCCTAATCATGCAAGATGTGGTTGGTCACACTTGTCAGTCTGGGGTAATTTTCATAGAATCATAGGAACATTAAGGTTGGAAAAGACAAGTAAGATCACCAAGGCCAACCATTAACCCACCCCCACCATGCCCACTAACCATGTCCCTCAGTGCTATACTGCCCTGATTCTTGAACACCTCCAGGAACTCTACCACCTGACTGCACAGAGTGTTCCAATGCCTGACAATAATTGTTGAGAAATTTTTCCTAATATCCAACCTGTATTTGGTGGTGGTTTTTTTTCTCCAAAGACTTAGCTCCTGGAGTCATGGGGTTTATACAAGAGCTGTAAGTTTGAGCTGAAAAAAAATCACCAAATTCCATCCTTATACATGTAGAATTTGAGAATATAAACCTGAAAACCTCAGCAAAACAGAGGGTAGAGAAAGAAAAGTCTGTCTGTCCATTGGGTTTTGTTAATAATGAACAGCTTGTGATTATGTAAACGCAGTCTCTCAATGTTTTGAGCATATTCATGCTCTTTGGATGCATGGAACAGGCAACACACACCAGGTACCTCTAACATACCTGGAACACTCCTAGCACACCCCTTGCTATAGGCAATTGAATAAAACCCAGGGTATAATTCTCAGCTACCTTTCAGAGCAAGAATCAAAAACTTCTCAGAAAGGGCCCTTTTCTGTTACGTTCAAGTCACGTTTTCCATGCAGTTATTCAAGTGTTGGAGTGATTTGTGCTGCCTCTATTTTAATAACTAATCCATTGACTTTTCCATAGGTGTCCACATGAGTTCTAAGAACTAGAGCATAGAAAACCAATTGGGAAATAAATAAAAAAGAGGAAAGACCCTGTTTCTGTCTATCTGCAGAAAAAAGGGGGGCTGGAGGGAGGAAAAAGGCTCTTTCCAGTGTGTCTCTAGGCTTATCTCACAGGAGGAGAGGCTGTCTGCTGGTTGAGGGCTTAGCTTGGTTCACTGCTGAGACTTTCTTCTTGGTGCAGTATGGCAAGTGATGGGTTTCTTGTGGTGCTCGGGCTCCCCACCCTCCCTCACTCATTCTCCAGCCAGCCATGGATGGATTGTGCCAATCCAGGGCAGGAGGGAGCATCAGGGCAAATTGTCTGATGTGTATTGTGCCAGAGAAGCTGTGGATGCCCCATCCCTGGAAGGGCTCCAGGCCAGGTTGGATGGGGTCTTGGGCAGCCTGATCTGGTGAGGGGCAGCCCTGCCCACGTGAGGGGATTTGAACTGGGTGATCTTTAAAGTCTTTTCCAAACTAAGCTGTTCTGTGAGTCTGTGAAAAAGGCATGTTTTGATGGCTGGAGTTAGTTTAATCTCCAGAGATTCCGGACTCAGTATATAAGGAGGAAATATTTCTTGATGAGAGTAGTGAGATGCTGATCTACTGAAAGATGTCTATGCCCATGGCACAGGGTTGGGCCCAATGATCTTTAGAGGTCCCTCCTGACTGAAACCATTCTATGTTTTTAGGCTGGTTTTGGTGGTGTCTAGTACTGTCATTATATTGCATGCAGCTGCCCCTTCTAGCCATCATTTCCACCTCTGTGCAGTGGGTACTTAATTGTCTGGTGGTGGCATTTGAGGACAAGGAACTGCTGGCTGAACAAGGAGACGCAGCTGCCTCCTCCCTCTCTGAGTCTGTCCCCTTGCCATGCAGCTGGAATTCACCTCTGGAGCATCTGTTTTGCGTTGCTCTGGCCCCGTTAACGACTGGAGGGACCAAACAGTTTGAGGCTGGCAGTGGTGCTCAGGAGCACCCCTCGTCCTGCCAAGTTTCTTTTCTACTTGCTGTTGCCTGCAGTGATGTTCCTCATCGGGGAGGTCTCGTGCCACTTGGCTTTCTTGTTCCTTGTTTGCATGCTGTGGTGTTACAAATAAGTTAGATGCTGTCCTCTGACTTGTCAATTCACTGCCGTGCATTATAGTGGCACAGGGTCTGCATTCAGTAGGTTTTCTTCCTTTCTTCTCACGTGGCAGGTGCTCCTGAATGTTTTTCATAAGTTGTACCCTGTGCTTGTGACTTATGGTTGTTGTCAAGGCTGTTATCTTTCTCTTTGACTTTGTCAGAGTTCTTCTGCAAGTAGTTACAAAGGAGAGTCCTGGAAGAAACAATCTCTTGCTTTCCTTTCAGCCCCTTTGTGTAATGAATATGTTGAATAGCTGGTGCCTGAGAAGCATGCAAAGTGCTGAACTTAACTAAAACCTGTTTACAACAGTGGCAAGGTCTTGCTGCACCATCTAGGGTGCTTTCATAATTCTGAGGTGACTTCCAGGTGACACACGGATGCCAGGGAGGTTACCTTAGCTCAGTGCTTCCATAACTGTGTGGCCGTTCAGGAAAGGATCATTCAAATATTAGAGGCTGGAACTGAAATCCTTGTTACCTGTGGAGAGCTTTCACAGTCCAAGAGGAATCAGGATTTTGGATCTGCAGAGGTAACTTTGTGCAGCATGCATTTCAGGCATAATTCTACTTTTATTTTTTTTTCCTTTAGAACAACCTGGTTATGAAGGAAATAGGGATGGTGCATGATGTGTTACTGGGACAAGGGAAGGAAACCTGTGGTGATTCCTTCTGCAATCAAACCCAACTTCAGAATATACAGAAAAGAACTCAGTAAACCTTCTTGGACCAAGCTCCAGGTATTGTTGCAGTCATACCTGCTTGGAGGCTGTTTTCCCCTGCATTCAGCAGGTAACCAGCCTTGTTCTCCACCACTGGGAGCAGTGCTGGGGATAACTTTATCTAGGTATGCCCTTGATTCCTTAGAACAAGAGGTTTGTTGTTTTAGTATTTCTGAGGGCAGTTTTCTGCTGGTGAAGTTTGTGAGAATTGCAAGTCAGGTACCTTCAGGCAAATGCTTTGCAAGCTTTCTGCATGGACTCCTATCATTACCTTCTGTGCTGCTCAGATCTTTAGATCCTCATGACCAGAAGCGACCACAGAAGTCACTCAGTCTGATGTAGTGCAGCACCAATTGCAGAGCAAGGCACATTTCTGTAGGGATCAGGCAGTCTCCCTTCTGTTCCTACATTCAGCTTGGGCGTCTGCATGGCTAAACTAAGCAGAAGGCTCCATTCTCAACCTGCTCTCGAAGCCCCTTCCTCTCTCTCCCCTCCATGACATTGTTTTCCCCATCCCTCCCCAGAAGCCCATTCCAGCACTGGGGTCTGGTGCAGCAGCTGTGCTTCCCTCTGAGCTCAGCAGGCGGGAGTGGAGCTGGCAGGTGAGCAGGGATAGGGTTGTTTAGTCTGGGAGGCAATTAGTGCAAGTGAGCAGCATCTGGAGAGCATGCACAAAGGCTGACAGAGGGGAAACTTCTGCTTTAAGATGGAGCAGCGTGGGGGAAATGGGTAGGACCAAGGTTTTTGGTTTTTTTTTTACCAGATAAGGAGAAAAATACAAATAAGGGTGGGCCCATTTGTCACCTGTCCACTACTTCCTAGAGTTATCCTTGTGTCAAGCATAGCATAACAGAGTGGTTAGGAGATGGAAGGATGGGAAACAGCTCTTTTTCAGGAAAACAGAGGGAGAATTTTTTTAGGGATTTTTTTTTTTTTTCCCCTGGAAGGTAGCTGAAAGCAAAAGAATCTCTGCTGTCTGCTTTACTTGTTCCTCCTTTAATTCAGTGGGAAATCAGGATTAAGAGAACACATAGGAGCAGTGTGGAGGGTGAAAGTCCATATGGTGGAGTGGAGGCATTCATCCTGATCTGACAGCTGCCTAGAAGGCACTGGAGGAAGCTTCTTTAGTAAGGACAACTGGGTGGAGAGGAGCAAAGTCAAGCTGGAAAGAAACAGTGTGAATCCCTCTTGGGAGGGGAGAAGTCAGAATAGCTGTGAGTGAATCTCAGTTTTGCCACTGGGGATGTTGGGTAAGTTTGCCTTACCTTGAGTAAGTGTGTCTTCCTGCTGTTCTGCCTTACCTACCAGGAAAGCAGTTTTGCTGTGAGTTCCATTGGGAGCCTAAGTGTCTGTGCTTTGGGCATCCTTAGTATGGATCTTGAAACAAAGCCTGTGCCCTGAGATTCAGGGTCATTTGAGGGCTAATTCATTGCAGTTGGGAAGGGAGTTGTGTTCAGTTTCATGCAATTTCACCTACTTCTTGTGTCTGAGCTCTGCATGAACAGATTAAATGCAACTTCTGGCTCTCTTTCTTGAAGGCAAGATTGCTCTGTGCCAAAGCTGCAGCCAGGGGAGGGAAATGTGTGGACACGGGCACCATAAAGCTACTTGAGCAATGTACTGCTGGAGGCAGGGTGCATTCTAGGCAGGAAGAACTTCTTGTGTGCTCTTTTCTTATGCTGTTTTCTCCATTTCTATTGCTGGCCACCATGGGAGCTGGGAATAGAGCTAGATGGAACTTTGAACTGAGCTGCTACTCTACCAGTGCAGTTATGAAAGTCCTTAGTACTGTTGATCCCATATGCCCTAAATGTCTCAGTGAGCTCACATCCACTAACCTGCGGAAGAGTTCCAGTAGTCTCACGTGAAAGCATGGATTTTAAAGTTGCAAGCTGCACACCAGCATGTGTTACACAACTCACCTGTTTTCTCAGAGCCTTGCTAACCCTGCTGGTGGTCACACACACACACACACACACACACACACACACAGTTCGGTGACTGAGGAGCTAAGATGGCCACCCATGGCCAATGCAAAGAGATTTTTCAGGTCCTTGTTCCCTAGTGGAGTCCTCGCTGACCTTTCCAACGGTGCTGTGTGGGGCTGTCTGGCTGCCTAGGGCCAGGGGCTGGAAGAGGATCCCGTTGGGAACGAAGCCCCAGGACTGCCAAGGGTTTGCTGCCCTCCTATGGCTTTGGCCGGCACGGCCAGGGCCATAGGAGGCCAGGGTGGAGGAGGTGGTGGCTGATGGAGCCAGCCCTGCACACAGCCCCAGCGTCCTCGGTCAGGCTCTCTGTGTGCTCTTGTGCAGCCGATAGGTTGGAGCCTGGGCTCCCGTTCAACCGGTTACACAAATCCAGCAGAACAGCAAGGTTTCCCCAAAGCAGCTCCATCTGTGCAGGGCACTTGTTCCTCAGGACTCCCTTGGTCGTGCTGTGCTTTGCCGGAGTTTGTGCCAAACCCAGTGCTTGTGGTTTAAAAATAACATTTGGATGTGACAGCTTCATTATTTACCTAGGAGCCAACGTTGTCTGGTAGGCAGAGCCAAACAGCTAGAAGTCTGAGGTGAGAAGTTCTCATCTACTGCTATTTTTGTATTGCCACCCGCTGCCTCAGTTTCCCTGCTGGTGAATTGGGGTTAGTGAAAAACAGCTCTTGATAATTTCTACATAGCTGAGTTAACCTTAAGGATCTTGATTAGGACTTTTTCCTCCAGAGTCCTTGAGCAATATCATGCTAGGGCAAACCAAGTATTTGTGCCTCTAGGTAATGGACCAAACCTTGAAAGAATCTATTAACACAGAGATCTGTAATAAGGGCATCCTGGAAGACTTACGGTAGTGGCACTGCTATGTTGCTGGCTTGTCCATTACTTCCAGAAGAAAATATTGCATGCTCTATTCCCCTTCATTTTCAGCTTTGCTGGCTCTGCTTGTGCTTTTAATTTCAATGACAGCTCAAAGCCAAACATCTTTGCTTCTTCGCTCTGTACATTAACGATGTCTAAAACATACACAAACACCACAACATATAAGGAGAGTCGCCTTGTATAGGTTTTTTTGTTTGTTTGTTTGTTTTTGTTTTTTAAGAAGTCAGACCTTAGAGATTTTCTTCTGCTTCTAGGACTCCTCATTCAAATAATGCAGTCCACTACGGACTGATGCGAGCGAGGAGACGTGGAGGCTGTCAGCATCACCTGGCACAGCACAGACATCAGGATGGTGGCATCAGGATGCTGTGACCTCTGGCTGGTCATTGGAAGAAAGCTGATGTGATGGAACACTGTCCTGGCATAAGAATAGCTGCCTCCAAAGCCTTCCATTCCTCTCTATGTTCTTCTGCAGGGGATGGTTTAATACCATAGGCAAAGATTTTCTTATAGGTCTTCAAGTACCACAACTGTATTTTTCTTTGCTTCTTTCTGATGTATAAGGAAATGTCTTGAAAAGTGAGGTTTTCACACTGTCTGGAGGAAAGCTCATCTTTTGGCATCTGCTTAAGCCGTACCAAACACAGCAGGGGTTGTGTTCCTGGATGGCATGCAGCAAGCAGGCACTACAGCTGTCAGGCATTTGCATTTGCTGGAGGACTTCTTAGAGTTCTCTGATGGGTACTGGGACTGCCCTCTCGCTGTAAGGTGAAGGCCTGAAGTTATTATATCTTAATCAATGTCGAATTTTCTTGGAGTGCTGTGATTTTCTTTAAAAAAAATTAAATAGATCCTTGGTTGGGGCAAATCCATGTGGTTCCACTGACTGTCTTGCAGCTAAGCTAGGTTTTTGCTAGTGAGGAAGCCAGCTTTAAGAACTTAAAGGAGCCTTCCTAGGATTCACTCTTCTCTCCTTCATTTTTTGATGACAGGTTTTGACTCCTGTTTCCATTTTGCAAATGGCCACCAAGTCCCGAGCCAGGAAAAACTGGAATTCCTTTGATAGCTCAGATGAGATCATAACTTAGAGCCAAACTCTGCAGATGTTTGGGGCTTTGATTTGAATCATCCAATAACAGATTTACTTATTGCTGCTCACTTCAAATTTAGTGGATAAGATTGTTTCCAATCAGCCACCTGATCAGCATCTACTAGGAAGCATGACCAGCCTGCCTCATCTGTTGAATCTGGAGTTGGAGAGCTGAGCAGGTCCATGACACAGGACAAAGCATTCTTTGTGGAGTAAATTTTTCTTCTCTAAAAATATATATATATTTTTTCCCCTGATGCTTTGTTTTTCTTGTTACCAAGGTGTGGAAAGACAAAAAGAAGAAAAAAATAATAACTCCAGATTGAGCAGAAAACAGAGAGTGAAATTAGCTGAGGAACTTCCAAACAAATGTGTATGTGTACACACAGGAGAGCTTGGTTTGGTTTACTATTTGTTTTGAATTTCCATTCTTTGCCCTCAGATCAAGCTCCAGGAGAAGGGAGAGCCTGGAATGAGGTCTCAGATGTCTGCAGTTCTGAAAAGCTGTGAGAGGAACCCTAGTGAAAGGCTGAAGCAGCAGATGCATGTGCAACATGCAACAAAGGCATGTGCAACACTTTCAATGGCTTTTTGCTATAGAATCCTTGCTTCCTGAGAGTTTTATTCCCTTTGTAATTACTGAGAAAGATGGTAACCAAGGAAAGGCCAGTATCTGTTGACCTCTTCAGTGCTGTGCATCTGGGTGATGGCTGTCATCTGCATCACAGGAGAGCCTAGAGGCTGAGACCAAGTGCTCTGGGCTGATCTGTGCATTGTAACACCAAAGTCCTTATCTGACAGATATGACAGAAGAACAAGACTCACAAAGGAAGTGCAGGAGCTCTCACATCAGTGTTAAGTAAAATCCTGCCTGGATGATTCCTTAACAACGAATTGATAAACTTTCAGCGTGCTAAAGATGCCATTGGGGGATTGGAGAGATAAGCAGCCTGTGTGGGTAAAATGTTCTATTAACTCCAATAACCAGATTTTTGCATCCTTTTTGTTTGCAGACTGCTTATTTTCTGATCCTGGTGACTGCTGAAACCAAGTTCCACATGTAGATCACTGCCTGGTTTGAAGCCATGTGGTTGTTCCAATGTTCTCGGTCCTGTAAACATCTCCTAGAACATGGCATACCACTTCATCTGCCTCTCATTAAGTAGAGAATGTGATTACTATTATGCACGGAGTTGTCAAACCAGTCTGGTGTTTGCAGACTTCACCAAGGATCAGGTGCCCTCCTTCACCACGATGCCATCCTCTTCTCAATGGCTGCCACCGGCAAAGTTAGAGAGTGCTTAAAAAAACCCACAAATATACAGTACACAAGATAAAGTACCAAAATACAGGTATAGCATGTGTCAGGGAATTATTTAAAGTGTCTGAAGCTTGAAACGCTGAAGTTAAAGTATCAGCTGGGATCTGATCTTAGCTTGGTCACAAAGAGAACATGCAAAGTGCTCAGGAAAGGAGGCCTTGCTGTGTAAAGCTAACTCTTCTGTGGCTGTTTCTTCCCACCTGGTGCTCCAGCAGAGGAAGAACACAGTGAAGAGAATGAGGAGCTGAAGAGAACAAGTGCCATTGCAGCGCGGCGCGTTCTGGAGGGCCAGAATTGTTGTTAACTTCTGCCTGCTACACACACAGACTTGTTGGTCCTTGTGGGATGGGACTGCCTCCCCTTCTATTTTGCAGCTCTTCATTATCTCTTGTGAGACAGGCAACGGTAACACAGTGTGTTTGTCTCTGCCTGGGTTCCTCTGCTCTCACGTTTCTAGTGTTCACCTTGCATTAGGAAAAAGTGGAGTGTGCTGCAGAGCACAGATGTGCATACATCCTTGTGGTAGAAGGAGGACTGGGAGCCATCTGCCTTTCATAAGCGCAGATGTTTCCCTCTGAAGGTGGGACTTATGTCAAGTGCCCTTCAACTGCTCAAGCTTACCTCCTGATAGAGTTGTGTTCATTATGTCAGGGCTAGCCACAGTTGAGAAAAGGGAGTGTTATCATTTGCCAGTTTACTCTGATACCCTGTGTATGTGTGTTGTCTTTAACCAGGCTGAATAAAAAGCAGAAAGATCTGCTCATGTCATGGACTTACTGGTAAATGCCGATGCCTTTCAACCTGCTGCTGTCCTGCTTTGGGGGCTGGTTGCAGACGGCTCCTCTGATTCATCAGCTTTTCTTCCATGGCTCTCACCTGGAGTTTGGGAATGTTTATTAATCATTAAGGTTGGAAAAGACCACTGAGATCACCAAGTCCAATCTTCGACCCACCATGCCCATTGACCATGTCCCTCTGTTCCACATCTCCATGGTTCCTGAACGCCTCCAGGCATGGTGACTCCACCACCTCTCTGGGCAGTCTGTGCCAGTGCATCACAGCTCTTTCTGAGAAAACTTTTTCTTAATATCCAGCCTGAACCTCCTCTGGTGCAACTTGAGTCCGTTGCCTCTTTTCCTATCGCTGTTACCTGGGAGAATAGGCTGACTCCCACCTCAGCGCAACCTCCTTTTCAGGCTGTTGTAGATATGTAATTATGGTGAAGAAGAGCTCCCAGAGCCCTCCCACCATGCTGTGGGGAGGCCCTGCAGGGCAGTGCTATGTGATCTGGCTCAGCACTGCAAGCTCTATGAAGCTGTCTTGCTCCCCAGGGAACACTCACATGCTCAGAGCAGCCGCGGCAGCAGTGAGGATAACCCCAGCGTGGGCAGGGGGCTGACTCATCTCTCTAGAAGAGGCAACACTGTTTATTAATTACTGCTCCTTTGAAGTGCGAAAATGGAGAAACTCTCTCATGGCCAATGTTGTGATTAACCATCTAATTGTTCTGCTGGTATGTTTGCTTAAGGGGCTTCCTTTGCTCCGTGTGCATTAAGGAATAGTTTCTCATCCTACCGTTGTTGCACCCAGATGATAGTCATTAGCAATGTACCAGACACATTGTGTGTGTGTCTTGTCCTGATGTTGGTGTTTTGTTTTTTTTCTATCCCTTGGTCCATCTCTGCTGAAGTGACTTCAGTGTTGGAGGGAGAATGATGGCTCTTCAAAGTAAAGTCTTTTGTTCCTACAACACACAGAGAATCTCTCTGTGGAAGAATCATTTGTCCCAGCCAACAGATCCCTCAGTTTTCCATCTCAGGAGACCGTGCCACAGGTGATGGAGGGTGCTCACATCCCAAAGACCCACCAGCCTGGGCTGCAGATGCTGGCTGCGTGCTCAGACCCCACTGAGGTGCAGAACCACAGCCTGTCCTGCCAGCCCTGATGTTCTCATCCCAGATATGTACAGGTTAGAAATGGGGTTTGGAGGGAGTCGGCATACCCACCTGTGGGAAAGTCTCCTCTTTGATGCATAGAAGCACAGAAGTTTATCCAAGGGCTTTCTCTGCGCCTCCTAGGCTTTGCCTGTCTTTGCTTAAATGTTAGATTGAACTTAAATCTTGGAGCTTGGCAGATTCAACATGGGTGACAATCTGCTTGATCTGAAATATGGAAAGAAAGGAGAGAAAGTTGCTTTACCTTTGCCTTGTTCTATACGTGTCTGTGATAATGGGAAACTCAGAATGCGTCTGAGCAAGCCAGATGTGAAAGTAAATGGTATCGGTAGCAGGCAGCTAGTGCTGGAAATTTTTGTCTGATCATTAATTCCAGGCCAGTTCCCATTGAATGTTCCATTACAGGTACAATTTCCACCAAAACGCATTTCAGGACCGTTTCAAACCGTTTTGTTTTTTTTTTTTTTACTGTATCCAACAAAGCAAAAGCAGGCTTTGAAATGACAAGTAGCTGAAAGCAAGGGAAGACTTGTACTTGCTCAGTCTTGCTGACATTGCCGTTCCCTTCTATGTATGGTAAGCATTGCAAAATCCAGCATTTCCCTCATGCTGCTCACGTGGAAGTCCATGCAAGCTTTACTACTTGTCTCCAGATCCCATGAAACCTTAGATTTTCCCCTTCATTGTGCACTATGCAGTATCTCAGGCAGAAAGGCACTTTCCATGCTCTGGGCAACTGTGTTGTGCTGCGGCACAGTGGCTCCTGCTGTGCCCAATCCTGCAAGGCTGTGGGCTGCAGCTAGAGGGGGTGAGCAGGCAGAAGATAGTTTCTGCTAAAATTTCACATTTGAAACTTTTCATCTCACCCCCATCATTTCTCCTTCCCCTGCTCTCAGTAGCACCTGCAGGCATGTCTCTTTCTCTAGTAGACTTCTGCTGTGCATGTGTGCATTTCTGATACGCATGCAGGTATATATACTGCATGTATGTATGTTTTATATGAGTGTGTATCTATGCACGTGCAGCATATCTACCTATCAGCATCAGAAACTGTGATTTGTTGTGAGACAGTGCGAGGTCTCTGCTGGTGACTGAGGTTGGAGTGCCTGAAATGTTGTGCACACGTCATGAGTAAGTGGCCCTTTCTGCCGAGATCTCGCAGTCCAAGTGTATGATTAGGAACAACAGATGGATACCACAAACAGACAGGCGGCGTGGGTGGGGGAGGAGCACAAAATACCACTGAGATAATTAGGATGAATGATTAATGATTCGACTGGATAAGAAGGGGCCAAAATGCTCTAGCTGAATATTGCTGGTGATGCCTCACAGGGACCTCCTGATGGAGGTGGACAAGAGATGCACTGTACTTTGTACTCGCTTGTTATCCAGGCTACTAATTTCCCTCTGAGTCCGTGTCTGTAGATGTTTGGCTCTAAGATTACACTGCGGCTACACTGTAAGGATGGTGTAACTCCAGTGTGTTCTGTATGGAATGCAGACCCAACTGTGCTGAAACACTAGTCCTTACAGGAATTTGGATCTCGTAGGAGCTGATCCAACACCCACTGGAGTCAGTGAGCTCTTGACCCGTATGGGATTTGGGACAGTCCCAGAATGTTCAAGTGGGCTTCAAACTGGGCTGAACAAGTGGGATACGCATTTAAGACGATAAGAAGAAATGCTTTGTATGAAATTCATTTAATATCTTTCTGTTTGCATGTACACATTTTTACTGTGTGAAATCAGACTGATTTTTTATCTGCTGCATCTATCTCGACATGTGGTGTATGTTACAGTGGACCGATCAGTTACATGATTAAAATACATGGTAAACAGATTCACAGCATGCTTAACACTAGCAGTTTTGTATTTTTGCAATAATTTTACCCCAACTTTTTCTCTCATGAAGTGTGATTTTGTTGTTGCCTCTTTGTTTTCCCTTGAGAGATTGCCCATTGCTTTCCTAAGTCAACTGAGTCTATTTCCTGAGGATTCTTCCATTGCTTTTATGGTAGCTAAGTGGCTTGTGAGTACTCAAGGTTGTCAAGCTTTCTCCCCACTTAAACAAATTGCACTGATGTTGAAAAGGATCACAAAACACAGTGCCTTTTGGCTGCCAGGGTCACCCCATATTGTTGACTTCAAGGAACTGAGGGAAGGCAGGAGAAGGGAAATGGAAGGTGCCAAGTAAAGATTTCTTGCATCATCACACAGGGTTTGATTCTGACTGTGGTCAATGTAAAAGCTTTCACTGTGTGGCCAGGTGGAATATCAGATCATTTGATGCCACTCCAAAGAGGGTCACGTATGCACAACTTTGATCTACTCCCTCTGTATGTAAAGGGGTGCTCACCTTCACAGGGAGGTAGTATGCACTAGCACGCTATCCTTTAGTGCCTAGGTGTTACAGCTATTACCAAGGGTTCTATTTCCACGTTACTTGGATTTTTGTGCATACTAAGGGAAAATATTTACAGCTGTTGTCATAGGCATGTGAAGAAATCTTACGCTACTTTTCAAGACAAAATTTTCAGACAGCTAGACTCGGCATGACGATTCAGAGAAGGATGCTGGTACTGATGCCAAACTTGTGGTTTTCTCTAACTCATTTTGCAGGACCTCCTTTTGCTGACTAGAAAGCCTTCACTTGAAATGCAATTACCCTAACGTAGAGAAAAGAACAGGCATAACCATGACAGATGAGAGGAAATTTCCTCAGATCACCCCTTCATCATCAACAGTGGCACATCTTCTGTACTTGCTTGATAAAAAGAAAGATTTAGGCTGGATCACTGTGTAAATGCATAACCTAACAGCCCTATTGGCTTCAGCAGAGCTTTACCAGTAAACGTTAAGTCATAAGAAAAGATAATTAAATAGAGGGCTAACTATAATCTCATAAGCAGTGCAAATTAGTACAGTTTTATTGGAGTCAATGGTGCAATGTCAGTGGAGAATCTGGCCTCTGGATGCACCCAAATGATGGCAACGTGGTAGCAAACTTCCTCCTAGAAACAACCTCACTTTTTGTTAACTCTTACATTCTTTCTGATCTGCCATCCTTTTTTAAATGTACTTTTTGCGATGCATCGTGGCTGGTCTCTCTTTGACATTCTCAGCTTTTTTTTTTATCTCTACTGTACCCTTTCCATTAATTCAGTTCTTTAGCTGTGTTGCCACCTTTTCATTTTTCTCTGCTTGTCTGCCTCATCATCCTTTTTCTGCATTGAGCAATGCAAGTGAATTGAAATATTCTCATAGAGTGGATTGACACACGTGCCTTTGTTCTGTGGAGCTTGTTTTCGTTATGTCATCCTTCCCCTGCGATTGCTTCCTGGGTCTTTGTGAAGTAATGGACATGGTGGTTTACCTCATACCTTCTGGCTACTTCTGATACCCAAGTCTTTGATACATCAATTCTCAGCTTTGAAGAGGCATGCTGACAGTGGTGGGCCATTCCTGAAATCTGAAGCCATATGTCTGCATTCTCATTTTCCAACTGGAGATACTATGAAGAAGTACTGATAGTGATGGCGATATTGTATGCTGAATATGAGTCAGGAAGACCGTGGAGATGGGAACAGTCATTTCCCTTCATCTCTGTAAAAAAGAAGATTTATCTAACTCAGAACTTCTGAATGACAGAGGGGATCTGAGCTGGTGATTGCACTGTCTGAAGATGCTGTGTTCACTGGTTCCACACACAGAAGCTGTTACTAAATGTAGAGCTGCTGTCATTTGCCCCCATTCATTCCTGGGGCCAAGTACTGAAACTCACATAGAGAAGGATGCACACCAGACCTATTCCTGTTTG